GACTCGACGGCACAAGGACAGATGTGGTATCAGTGCTGAAAATGGGTATTTTTAGATTGGTGCTGATCAGGCTGCTTTTCCAGTGCACCTCCACTTAGTGGAAGTTATTTGTTACTTTTGTTTCTCAGTACTTGTCCTCTGGCAGGGTGTCATCACCTCTTCTAATGTTTCTCCATCTCCACCAAGGATTACTTTTGGGCCATTAATAGCCACAGATTTAATCTTCTCCCCATTGATAAACAAACTAATTTGTTCTGCTGTGTTTGCTAATAGCTGTTTCTAGGAACTAATAACAGCTCTTAGGTGCTATTTTCTTCTTTACCTTCCCAAAAAACATGTGGCTGCTAATATTTCCATAGGGTTAAAAGAAGCATAGCTGGTTTTTTCCATCTCTATTTATAACCTTGCATGTGCTCTTCCCAAAGTGGACGGGAAAGATTTTGGGAGCTTTACTCTGGAGATCATTAATTTTGGTTGAGCTTACTTGGGTAGCTGCACTTGTGGAGAGGTTTGAGCCTGCAGAGGCCAGCAGGACTTGAACAAGGTGCAACCAAACTGATTTGCAAATTCAGTGGTCCCTGGTGGGCTGGGCTTGCCAAAGGTCACCATGTCCCTGTGAGAGGCATTATGCACTCAGGAGGGGTGGCCAGAGGGTTTGAGCCTCAGGAGGCTGTTCTCAGAGCTGCAGCACACCTGGGAATCTCCTCTCTTCTTTAGGAAATCTACTGGCTCTTTGGAATTGCCAATTGCATCTTCTGCCAGTGAGCTGCATCTCCAGGGGGTGCCTGTGCTCACAGCCAGCCCAGAGCTGATGGGAACTGATGGCTCAGACCTGCTGGGCTACACTGAGCTTTGGGACACCCCCTGCTCTTTTATAAACCTGTCCTTTGTGCTCCAAGCAGCAGGATAATGCCCCTGGCCTGTGAAAGCCTGGAAGATTGTGAAGCCCACAGTGCAGCACCTTGCTTGAGGCTGGTGGCTGGAGGGGCAGTGGGGAGCCAGGCCAGCCTGCATTAGCTTATGGAAGCAGCCGAGATTACTTGTACCAAAGCGAGCACCCTCCTGCTCTGCTTGCACAATGCCCCCTCTGAGGCAAGGGCATCTCTCATTGTGTGACTCCAGATAAGCCCAGGCCTCACCCTTTGCTACAGCAGCCCCTTCTCTCCCCAAGGCAATGCACCTTTGCAGGCATCTTTGTAGGTATTCCCAGAATTAATGCCCCTCCTCAGTGCCAGGGTCACCTCCCTGCCCTTCATCTCACACCAGTGCCACTGTGCATGTGCTTGGACACGTCCCTGGGAGCAAAGCAGCTGGAAACCACGTGGCAACAGGGAGCACCAAGGATGCTGTCACCCCCAAAGCCTGCTCTTGGGAGCGCAGACCCCTCGGGGTGATTGGGGCTGTGTTCCAGCAGGCTGCTGGCACAGGGCAGATGAGCACTGGGGCTATTTGCTTCAAAAGCCACTGAATTCACCCCACAGGGAAGAGGAGTCTGTGGTCACTGCTGTGTAGATCCCTGCTGCTGTGGGACAATGCACACACAGGCATGGGAAGGACAGTGGCAGTGACCACAGGGCATCAGGGCAGCGAGGGGGATCTGGGTGGCATTTGGGGGTCCCTGGGTGCTAGGAACTCACTTGGCTCCAGCCCTGACCTTTGCTGCCACTAAGACTTGCATAAACTTGTAATTGTTAACTAGTTCCCCTGTAGTGGGCTTAGAATTCTTTCAGGACAGGGTTTGAAAATGCGAGACATCTACAGTAGTAAAGATTTTATTGTGCTGGCAGCGGACTGTAAAACTCGATTACATGACACTGGGGATTGCCTAAACCTTGTTCCACTGATGCAACTGCTCAGGCTTGGGGGGGATGTGAGGAAGGGAGGTGGTTTTTAGTCACGTCTGGAGGTGCTTTAGCAGGAAGGGCAGGAGCAGCCCACTCCCACCCAGCCGCTCCCACCCTTCAGCCAAGTGAGCCCAATGTGGACCTGAGGATCTGGGGGGATCACAGGAGCCTTGCATAGCTGAAACAATGCATGAGTGCTTGGCTCATCGCTGTCTAATGACATAAAAATCATGGGGAAGCCCAGCCTGGAAGGAATAAGCGGAGATTTTTTTGTAGAAAAAGATTTTCCATTGAGAAATGGGCTCCCCTGTTGGCCCCCTTTCTCAGTTCACTGCTGACATGGGAGTTTTCCCTCTAAGACAAAACTTTCCGAGGTTTGTATCCGTTTTATATCCATTTATATGACTGCTAGCATTTTTCATATTCCAGAGCACCATTTATGGTAAGAAAATACGTTTTCCAATAAATAATCAAAGTGATCATATTTTGGAAGGGGAAAAAAATCGTAGTAGGAAACTTTAGGAAAACAAAATTGGCCTGTGCTGAACATTGAGCCAGCATGATATCTTTTTTCCTTCCAATAAATCTTCTGGCTTATTTCTGTACCCAAACTAGAGTGAGCCAAGAGGAATTCCTGAACGCTCGGGTACAGTCAGCCCTTCCCTGGCTGCGGCATGCTGCAGGAATGCCACCAGCTTTTTGAAGCTACCTCCAGGATTTGGTTAGCCAAGAGCAGGAGAAGCATTGGGCTAAGAACATGGCACTTTCAAAGCAAAAGAAAGGAGTTTCTTTTGTGACATCAGTGGTGTAAGGCTCAGGGAAGGGGAGAGTCTGGCAGGGAAGCTGCCTGGAAGGGACACAATAGCGGATGGAGGAGTCTCCTTACAAAGCCCCTGTGTCAATAAAACTTGAGTTCAGGTGAGCTCAGGTAGCATTCAAAAGTGCAAGCAGGAAAGCCCTGAATGGCAAATCTCAGCATGTGATTAACCTGGGAACACCCTGCTCAGGAGCCTGTCCAAGGCAATCACTTGACTGAGGTCCGTGGAACCCGGAGCTGTTGAAACTGCAGTCAGCAGTGCCTGAGACTGCAGGCAAATGATTGCCAAGGGGATCTGGAGGGCAGTTCTGAGGGATGTCCTCTCTGTGTGAGATTCCAGGCGCAAGGTCCCTGCTCTGGAGGAAGCATGAGTCAGACAAAACTTCTGCTCTAGGCTCTGGCCACCTACTTCAGTTGGGGTAAAATGCCAGGTTTTATCCTATGCAGCTGCTAATTCCCCACTAATTTACCCAGTAGTAAGAAGGTCTCAGTAAGTGAATTCCCTGAACTCCTGTCTTGCTGAAACCTGAGCCCCTCTCCATGGGTATACCACTAGGTCATTCAAGTACATCTAATATCTTTTTTGAGGGGAAGAGAGGCACAGATAGTGTTACACATTGTGCAGAAATGCTATTAGCTGTAGTTGAGCATCACAACTTGGATTTATTAGCAGGGGGCTGAGAGACCTACATGGCAGGGGATGTAACTGATAACCTTGTCTTGCATCCGTTTGAGCAAATGGGTCCTGTGCCTGTGTGCTCATCAGAGATTTAGCACTTCTCACGAGATTTTTTGCAGTCACAGTCATTTAGCAAACATATGATACTTCACACTCACAGCCCTGACAGGGACATATGGCACTTCCTACCTCCTAAATGTTGATGGATGGAATTGCTTTGACTATTCAAGGAATCAAAGGCCTGGTTCGAATCTCAAGGCCTTGCGTTGATTTCGGTGAGCTTCCTTCTGATTTGTCCTGTGTATGGAGAATCTCAAGGCCTTGCGTTGATTTCGGTGAGCTTCCTTCTGATTTGTCCTGTGTATGGAGAATCAGGCTGATTAACACAAGTTAAACAAGCAAGAGAGTTCAAACAGAAGAAAATGTCTCCTACTCAGTGGTCCTGAACACTTGAAGTCTCAAAAGTTGGAGCAGTGGGAAGTTTGAAGATGATCTCATACCCAGCATTTAAAATGTACCCTTTCAGGCAGAAAAAAAAAATGAAAGGAGAAAAGAAAAAGAAAGTATGCTTTAACTAGAATAAAGTACAAGCTCGCCATTGGTGGCAGAAAAGTTGAGCACAAAGGTCCTCAAAAATTGGATAATGTTGTGAAAAAGAGCAAGAGCTAGATCTGTTGCCAAAATCAGACCCATAAAAGCCAGTGGGCCACTGCTGACCCACCATCTATCTCCTTTTAAAAGCAAACTTACCAGCCAGAATGGAGATAACCGGATATCTCCTGGTTTTCAGTGGGATTTACCAGAAATGTTTTTTGGTGGTGAAGACACCATTTTGGACAGAGTTCCAGCGGGAAGAGCTGAGATGCTCAGAGCTCCCAGGTGCACATGGCAGAGACTGAACCTTTGCTCTGCTTAATCCCAAACAGGAATCTGAAGGGGCACATGAAAGAGGGAACCTGCCTTTCAGTGGGAGAAGGGAAAAAAGGCTTATTTTTTTTCACGACAAAATCTCAAATGTTCAAAGTCTGTCCCTGTGCTGAGGCAGAAGGACCACCCAAGGTCTCCTGCAAAATGCAGATGTTATTCCTCCCCTGCCCAAGCTGTGGACGCGTGTCTCTGGCTGAGCACCGCGTGGCCAGGGAGCCTGAGCACAATAATGTGTTTTCCTTCTCCTAACACCTGACAGTAGCATGATTTCACCAACCACTTGGTCCCATTGCTGCATACTTTCCAAGGTGATAAAAATCAAACAGATTAACGTGTTTGCTTTTAATTTTACATTTTAGAAGCAGCTGTTGAACCACCTCAATGCCAACAGTGTCTATTGCCAGCATTAGTGTCATTAGTAGTCATTGCAGCTGTAATAGCACCATTATCTCCTGCTAAAAGGGTCACTGATGGCCCAGGACAGAGCTTGGGGAAGTGAAAAGAGCAGACTAAATGAGATGGAAACAGCAAACAGTTGCTTCTACCTTAACCTGCATAAAGACCTGCGGATGCTACGCAGAGGGAAATTAATTTGCACAAGTAGCAAAAATTTTGGCTGGAGTGTCATCAAGGAGGAGGGGCTCTTGGTAGTTCTTGTGTCACTTGGGCGAACATAAAGCATATAAATATGGGAAAGAGAGAATGGGGACATTACTACCAGCCATCTTCATCCCTCAGAGTGAACTTCTCTCCACCTCTTGCTGCATCCTCTTGGGTAAGTTGGATTGCCTCCCTTTTACTTTCTACCTGTTGTGTAGACTCGTCTTCTTAAGTTGATGAAGCAGGCAGTGACAATTGTCGCTGGATGACTCAAGAAAATGAGGCCTCCCAGGTCTTTGAGGAGATGGTGCTGGTTTTGGGCCATCATCACACATTACAGCCCCTTCTGAATGGGCAGAGAGGGTTTTTCCTCTGGAGGGGTCTGCTGATCTTGGCTCTCCAGGGCATGTAGAGGGCTTGGTGGGATGGCTCTGCCTGCCTTTTCAGGCAAGACCGCAGGGAGCCTGAGACTGAGATGGAGCATAGAGATGGACTCATGGTTATAGTCAGTAGTAATTTACTGTCACTTGTAAATCCTGGTGCACAAAGCTCTCCTTCCTTCTCAAACTAGAAGGTCCATCTCCTACTTTAGTCTCATTTCCATGCCAGAGGAGCTGAAAGACACACAATGCTTGATTACAACCTGTTTTTACCTCCTAGACTTTCCCGTGTCTGCTCTGCCCCTTAACCCCAGGCCTCAGGCAGCCCAGCATGGCTCTGTGGATCCGATCTCTGCCCCTGCTGGCCCTGCTGGCCCTCTCGGGCCCCGGGAGCAGCCACGCTGCTGTCAACCAGCACCTCTGCGGCTCCCACCTGGTGGAAGCCCTGTACCTGGTCTGTGGCGAGAGGGGCTTCTTCTACCAGCCCAAAGCCCGGCGGGATGCTGAGCAGCCTCTAGGTAAGTGGGGCTGGCCGGTGGGACAGCCGCCTGTCGCTGACGGTGACACCAGGAATGCCCTCCGTGGGGAATGCCAGGAATACCTGTGGCATACCAAAAGCCAAGCGTTGCCAGTGAAAAGCTCTTCAGGTTAAAAAGGCAGATGAGAGGGCGGGCAGGGAGAGAGGATTTATGAGGAAAAAGGAATTGTGCCTGGAAGCTCAAACTCGTCTGTTTCTTAGCGTGGTCGTTACACCAGCCTGGGAATGTTTGTAGAAAATAAAGGTGGGAGGAACGCGATAAGCCTCTTTCTGCCCCAAGATAGGATCCCCATTGTTGTTCCCATTCTATTTCTCAGCCATGTTTGTCTGCTGCATTCATAAAAACCTCCAGAGAGAAAGCTTCCTCTGCCTTCTGGAGCTGCCCATTCCCAAGCTTAACTGACCTTCTTCTTGAGTGTTTCTTCCCAATATCTAACCTGAACATCCCTTGCTGTAAATTATTTCTTGTCTTCTCATTATTGGACAGGGGGAAGAGCCTAGTCCTTTCATCTTTATGATTGCTTTCCAAAATACTTGAATACTGTTCCCATGTCTAGTTTTGACCTCTCCTCAGCTACACAACCCTACTGCCTTCCTAGGTCATATTTTCTAGATCTCGAAACATGCAATTCTGCATTTGTCCACATCCTTGCTAGCTGGTGAGGCCTGGAGAAGCACACTGAACTGGCTTCCAAGCTTCTAAGTAAGACTGTGAATAGATGAAGAAGACACCCCAGTGCAAATTGCACCCATTTAATCCTCTAGTTTCAAGATCAACCTTCACTTAACATCCCCTGACTGCAATACATCTCTCCCACCATTTCTCTTCCCATCACATACTGTTTTCATTTATATCCAATTCTCTCTCCTGTGTATATAACCACCCTGTGAAATAGTCTTAGGGGTCTTTGTAAGGCGAAACAAGGTAATGGCCTAGCAGAGGGTTTGCCCATGAATTGTTTGGGATGTCAGTTGCCCATTCTCTGATTATTCATTTCTGGACACCACCACAAATGGATTGGAGGTTTCATTAGCCAAACTACCTAAATACTGTACAGAGATTTTTAATTGTGCCAAAAAGAATGCAAGTATTTGAGGATTTTCTACCTTTTTTTCAGGACTTTTGCCTGAGCCGCCACCTCTTTGTCACACAATCTGGTTATGTTTACAGTCTGCTCACAGCTGGCTTGAAGGATGAAGACAAGTAAATCACAAAACTTTGATTAGCTATTTCCTCTTCTACTTAACATTGGACCAAATTTTTCCCAAATTTCCCGTCTAGCACACTAGCATAATGATTTTGTGTTACTCTTGTGCCTTGTTCATTGCCTCACGCTTTGGGGGCTTGGGGATTTCGCATCTTGTACTGTACTTGTATTGCCCTAGAAACCACATCTCATTCTCACTTTCCAGGCATTTTCTCTTTGCTGTTAAGGGCTCTTTTCTTCCTGCAGGAAAAACTCACTGATTTATTTGCCATTTTCCATATTTTCATTGGGAAACTAAAACCTGAACAGATCTGTGCACAAGTTTTCAAGTTCTCACCAGCAAATAATCATTCTGTTGAGTGTTACCTGCGTCCAAATACCCTAATTTATCATTGCTTCTAAAAACTTGCCCCCAGCTGTGAACACAGACACACACAAATGCTTTTTCTGTCAGCTTGGGGCTATATCCAGGCAGCCAACTGAATCAGGCTGTTCAGGAACAGCTGGGAAATGCACCCAGCCTCAGAACTGGACTGCCCCTGCAATCCCATGAACATCCCAGTTGTCTGCCCAGGCTCCCAGAAGAGTGGGTAACTGCCTAAAGGGCTCTGTGGTCCCAAACTCTTCTCTATAGAGCAGACAATCCCATTTTTACATCTCGCTTACTAGTTGCTCACCCCGGGGAGGGCTCAGGATTTCTCTTCCTCTCCACACAGCTTCCCCAGTAAAGCCCCTGTATCCCTTTATCCCTCACACTGCCGATAGTCACTCAGCTTGGCCTCTTCTGGACACCACAGGATTATTTTGGGAGAGCAAACAGGGTGCTACAGCAGCACCAACCTGGAGAAACCTGTGCAACTTCCTTCCCATTTTCCAGCTAACTCTGGATTAAAAATCTGGTGCCTGCTAAGGGGGTGTGGAGGGCTCAGGAGCCAGGGCTGGTGCTGAGTGATGTCCCACACTTTCTGTTCTCCTCCCCTGCAGTGAGCGGTCCCTTGCACGGTGAGCTGGGAGAGCTGCCCTTCCAGCAGGAGGAGTTTGAGAAAGTGAAGAGAGGGATTGTTGAGCAATGCTGCCACAACACCTGCTCCCTCTACCAGCTGGAAAACTACTGCAACTAGCAGCAGGGCTGGCACTGGGGAGCTCCTGGGCCAGAAACATGCACTTATGCTACCGCACCTTCAAAGCAATTGAATAAATGTTGTGGATCTCTTGGAAGGACTGTGCTGGTTCATGTGTCCACATATTTTAGTCGGCTTTAGGGTGTCAGGGTCCATGCTTGGGTAAAGCACTTTTCAGCCATCACTTCAGATTATCCCTCTGCCACAGGAATGACCTCCATGGGAATGAGGGAGGGAAGGGTATTACACAGCTTTGGAGCAGGTACATGGAGCATCCGGCACACCCAGTGCTTGGAGAACCAGAAGGAGAAGGCAGAGAGGTTTAAACAAGACTTCTCTTGCTAGGGAAACATTACATCTGTAACAATGTCATGCTGATCAACTTCCTGTATTTCACAGCCCAAATATAGCCAGGCAGCTGGAGACTGAACTTCCTCAGCTACATAATGGAAACAGTAAAGATTAGGCAAAGAATTATGTCACCTATTCATTGTACTCAGAAAAACCATGGATGACCACCATGGCCAATTCAGAATATGTGTCTAGCTCCTACTAGTGCTCATGGGAAGCCCAGGGAGAGTCCCTGCTGTGGGATGTGCTTGTTGTTCACAAGGATATCACAAGCCATGTACTGAAAGTAGATTTAATCCAAGAAGGAGTTTTGAATCTATTCTCCATGTGCTGGGCAGTATCCTTGCTCCTGGTGCTGCAAACCTCTTTCAAGTATCTGGTCCCAGAACTGCCCCTTTCTGTGAGGGAAATCTGCCCAGCAGTGCCAGAGTGGCCAGAGTGTCCCAGAACGCAGGGAAGGGCTGTGTTCCCTCTGCTGAGGGACTCCCGCGGCACTCTGCTGAAAGCCATGCAGAGGGGCTCTGTGCCATGGGCTCAGCCTGGCAGAGGTGACAGCAGCAGCCAGGGCTGCATTCTGCTGGTGACAGATTTTGAAAGTTGGTCTGAGAGGAGCCTGTGGTTTTAACAGCCTCATTTCCCAAACCAGTTCCGACTGCCTCCAGTGGAGCTGCACAGATGGAAGCTGCCATCTCAGCCCTGCCAGGATGCATTACTCCCAATCCTATCACAAGCACAAAACTGGCCAAACCACTACAAACTGAAAGGCTGGAAAAGCAGCTGGATGTGCTGCTGAAAAGAAGATGCAGACATAAAAAATGAAATCAGAAAGCACTCATGATTCCCCGTGGTGACCTTCCATACAAATTCCCTTGATGCAGCCAAAAGCTGCCTCAAGGCGGCCTCTTCTTGCAGGTGCTACACCAGTGCTGCAGTGCTATCCAGCCAGTCCTGCTCTCCCTGACCACCTTTCCATCCCTCTCCATCACCCCTTCTGCTGGGCCCCGCTGAATACTCCCAGCAGCAGAGCTTTCAACTGCGACAAGCAGCTTCAGGCCAAAATCATGTGGTTATGAAAGCACAGCAAGATATATTGTGTTCCTGAGCTACTTGGCTCCACCAAACCTCACAGTGTATAACTCCAGTGGTTTCTAGAGGGGACTCCCTAGAAGCAATTCTCCTACCTATCCTGGTGAACCATGAGGTCAGGACAAGTGTTACTTGGGAAAAAAAAAAAAAAAGAAGAAGAAAAAAAAGCAGAGCTATTGCTCATTTTAAGGCCACCAACATATTCAGGCATGCAGCCAAGCACCAGCAATCCCAGCCATCCAGGAGATACCACCCTGATCCAAAAGGCAGATGTTCAGGTCTGCTTGGATGTTCTTGAGGGGAAGGACATCCAGCCATGGTGGTTCCTCCATCTGGCACAGCCCTGTTTATCTGCTGGCACTCCTGCCCTGGCAGCAATGCTCTGCTCGGGTGAGGACAGCTCCTCAGAGATGCCCAGCTCATTTCCTGCCCTCTGCCATTGTTTGGTCTGATCCTTTGTTTGTTTGCTTTTTCTGAGCGCTCTCAATTAGGACTTGTTGGGAAATTGCAAATGCCACTTTTTCTGCTGGAAAATGTTGATTCATCAGGATCAGCACACCCCGCAGGACCGGACTGGTTTTAGCAAGGCAGGATTTGAAAGAATGAAGGGACACAGAAGGTTTAGGTGCCTGCTCTTCACCCTCTGCATCCAATTGTCCAAGACCACAAGCCATCCCCAGGCTCTGGGCTACCCAAGGGTGGATGCTTTTGCTTCTGCTGAAAGATTCCTGAAGGTGAGCACCCAGGTCAGGGAGGGACAGATGGCCCCATGTCCAAGGTGCCTGACTGTCTGCAGGGCACATGAAGGTGCTGTTGCTTCCTTCCTCCCCAAACAAGAGCTGTGCTGGAGATCAGTGGCCTACGGTGAGCGACACTGCCCTCCAGGAGGTGCAGGAGAAAATAATGCATCAATTTTAAAATTGTAGAAAGCCTAAAAAAAAAAAAAAAAAAACACACTTATGCTTTCCAGAACTGAAAATAACATAAAGGACCAGCTCTTCGCTTTTTAAAAGCTGCAGTAAGGTGAAGGCCAAAGGAGAACAAAGGTACTTTCCCCCCCTTTTTCTGGAACTCCAGGGAAGAAAACCTGAAGGCAATCCTATGCATTTTCCACAATGGAGCACATGGCTCCCTGGCTTGCAAACGTGCTGCTGCTGGCTTGCTCACCCTGTGTTGTGGCAGGACAGGCAGCTTTAGCCCCCTACCCCACCCGAACCCAACAGTGGGTGTCCCAAAAGTCCTTCCCAACATCTTTAATGGTGGTCCAGGATGGAATTTCTTTGTAAGGCTTCCCTCAAATCCTTGTACCTTTGCCTAGGCCATTCCCTGTCCTCAGATGTGCTTGGGAGATGCTGGATCTTCTGAATTCCTGCAGAAGAAATGATTCAAGGACAGGGAATGCCGCATCCACTGACCTCCCTCCCTGCTTCTCCTCTTGCCAGGCTTTGCATTGTGATCCTTGGGAAGCAAATGCATGCAGTCCCCTTTATTCTGACTCAGCAGTTGCTCTGGAGTGATTTTTGCGGTAGCGGTGGGGCATCATGCCTGACTAAAATATCTTGGCTCTGCTACTCTTGCAACAAACTTCCAAAGGTCTCATGCTCGTGGTGGAGGGCAATTTGAAGAGAATGCAAATAAAGGCTTTGGTTCATTCATGCTTCTTGAATAGAGAATAGAAAGCCGAGCCGCAGAGGGGATTGCAAGGCAAATTCCTTGGGCTGCTGAGCTGTTAACAGTGCCATGAAAAGGAAGGACCGAAGTGTCCCCTGTCTGCCACGTGCACCAGCCCTCATCCAAAAGGGCAGAGCTGTGGTTTCCAGGAAAAGGGAGCGACGTGCACAGAAATGGGAATGGGGGCAGCCTCTGCAGGGTGCTGGCCATTGGGTCCCTGGTGGCTGGGGATCAGATCATGCCCTCCAGGTTGCTGGATGGGCTCTGCTGCTCCAGCTTATCTGGAGAGGAAGGGAAGGCTGCCACTTTCCCGGAGCTAATCCGACTCTATTATTTCCTTTCCGGGAAACCAGAGATAGAGAGCTCTCTGTTACTCTGGGAATTTAAGAGATCCACTTTAAGAAATAGTCAGACTATATTCTGGGATTTATGTCTTTTTAACCATCTTATCAGCATTTTAGGAGATTTTAAACCTGCTTACAGCGTCTCTCCTTATCTACAGAGTGAGTTCCAATAACAGACTTGCAGCAATGACTTGAGTTGGAAAGCATGCACTGAGCAGATTCTGTGTTAAGACCACAAATTCGCTCTGGTTTAGACCAACTTCACCAAAGACACCTATCTTGAACAAAAAATAGTCTTTCTTCCTTCTCCTTTCACTCTGGGCAGAAAGAAAACTTTAGGTCAGGCCATAAATCGATCTGGAAAGTCATTGCCAGTGCATTGTCGCTGGCTGAATTATTCCTGCATGCTGTGGGGAGGAAGGAGGGTGGTTTTTTCCAAGCCCAATGCCAGGCTGGCTCTCACATGCCCCCAGTCCTGCTGGGCAGAGCAGGCAGGAGCAGATCCAGGACAATAACGGGAAGCGAAGCAAGCCTGTAGGAGCACACAAGGAAATGGTCTGAGCCTCGATCATTTCCCTCCATCCCTCAGTCCTTTCCCTCCATTCCCAGTCATCTTCAGGACTGTCAAGAAAAGGTGAACAAACCTCCTGAACTCCTCCAACCTCCTTTCTGTTGCTGAAAAGATACAGCCAAAACACCACTTTATTTATTTATGTTTTTCATGCCTGGTACATGGCAGGAGTGCCAGGATCTCTAGAATGAATGTGGTTGCTCACACTAAAATTTCTCACAAATGTTTTCAGATTTTGGAAGAAAATGGATAACAGAAATAAATTTGGCTTTTGATTTTCAGGTTGTTGTCATTTGTTGTCGTTTGGGCTTTGTAATGCTGGAATTTGGCAGTGGGGATGTTTTACATAACTGCCAACTTCTGAAATGTAACTTTTTGTCAGAAAATAATGCAGCTTCCTCTTTTCTAATCAGAAAACGGAAAATCAAGTATAAATGACACCACCCACCCTACACTGACGAGAAACCATTCTGTGGAAGTTTCAATGGAAAAAATTCTACCCTTTTTTCCCCTTATCAGAAACCTCCTCCACTTTGGAGTCTGAGACCCAGCAGGGTCCTGGCTCTGCAGACTTCCCTGCCAGTGGATCTTGCACACCCAAGTTTCAAGCTTTTCCTGTGTGTTTTGGGAGATTTTAAAAATTTATCCCAAAGAAATGCTGTCTTGGCCCCTGGGTTTCTACTGATTTCAGTGACAAGAAAAAGAAATCATCAAGTGAAAAAGTCAAAGCACATCCAGCTTGCACACCATAGCCTGCTCCTCTCCTGCTTCTGAAGTTGTTTTTTTTCAGTATATCTGCGACCTAAACCTGGCCACATTTTTTTTCCAAAAGCTGGTACCTTGTCTCAAAGTAATGAATTTCAACCCCAAATAAGGAAAAAAAAAAAAGCTGCCCCCATGAAATTCTGATGAAAAGTGGAGAGGTAATTTTTCAGTCCTGGTCCTGGTGCAGATGTTCTGAGGCAGGTGTTCAGTGT